GATGGAGGAAGGGGGGGGGGCGTTTCTGGCCCCTCCTTTTTTTAATATCTAATATTTTTACATGCTGCTAGTTAGAGAACCTGTTGTTAAAATATTTGAATCCCACCACTGTGTATAATGCTTATTTCCTTGTAATCAAGTTCCATGTAAGATTTGTAAGTTTACAAAACTAGCAGTACTTTCTCAGACTAACATGAAAAAAATCCACTACAGCATAACCAAGCTTTTGTATCAAACTCAGAAACACAATAGTTATCATATACAGTTAAAAAATGCATGTATATATTGGATAAACAAAGCTTATCCTTAAAGAGTGGTTTAATAACAACAATAAATCCTGTGCCAAGACAAAAAAAAATCCTTTCTGTTGCTCTATACTTAAATCAGCCTGACTTCTCCATCAATGACATCATTCTCATTGGTATTGAAACCTGGTTTAAATCGAAGCTCAATAGAGGAATAAAAGAGGTCTACTGGACCATTATTTTGAATATTGTCACTCATTATCACACAAGCCTTGACCAAGGTGTTAATAATCGTTGTCTTTTAACTCAAAGTATTTCTGGAAAATCTTAGAAACAAATTTCTTTTTTTTTCTTCCTTTAATAATTTTTAATTATTATGATTTAATTTAAATTAATTTTATCTCTATACTATAATTTTTTTAAATATCTTCTATTTTTATGTTCTCATTTATAGATGTATTATTATTATTATTATTATTCGATTTAACCTCTTAAATCTTTGATTAATATTTCCTTTTCCAGTTCTTTTATCATTAAGTGATCTTATCAATAAATCTCAAAATTGTTCTGGACATTTCTTGCACAAACATATTTTTCTAAGCCATTTATATTTCATAACTATTCACTTTTTTCTTCCCCATGGCAAGTCTGAAAGTTTAATATGATGCTACAAATTGGATTTTGATACTGTGGTGGGCAGAGCACAGATAACTCATTATGTAGCTTTGTACTTACCAAAAACAAATTCTTCCCTATCACCTACACATTATACACAATGCTATTTCACAAGTTAGGTCATATTCTTAGAAACATGTTACATATCTCACTTCCAGTACAATGACTGCATAACTGATCAACATACTTAACAATGATCATTTACCATTTATTCATCATGAGGAAATGTCCACTGTCCAAAAGCAATCAAGTTAATGGTTTTCTTTTCTAATTCTATAGTTTTGAAGAGATGAATTAAAGTTTTTTAGGCCACACTACATTCTGTTACGATTACTAAGTAACTGAAATATCAAACAAGAACTATTAGGTTAGTTTTGTGACACAACTGGTGACAAATATATATAGTTTGTCATAATACTAAGTGCAGTTGTAGTGATTTTGGAATATTGATGAAACTAAAAATATATGGTTAATCCTCAATTTCAAAGTTTTCCTAGTCTATCAGTTACTGAGACTGGTGAAATAATTTTTACTTTAACACTTTCATGACATCATGAGTTACTGGTGGTACATTTGCATGTTTTTTGTTGGATGTTGTGTGCCACCCACGGTACACAGCACCCATAAGATATAACTGCACCTCATGTCTCCAAAGTCCTATATGAAGGAATTTATTTTGTATGGATGGCTATAATGAAGCCATTCCTTCCATCATGTACCACTGGTGGAGTATGAATGCCATGTTAAAAGGACTATTGAAATAAAACATGATTAAATCACTTTTTATTATAACATTACATCTAGATACTAGCATTAAATTTTTTCATTGTGAGTAAATGAAGCAAAAAAAAACAAACTAACTGAGACTTCTTTCATAAATAAAAAATTGTTATGAAAACTGTAATATAATATGGATAGAAATGAAATGAAAGAAAATTTTGATAGTGACAAAGTGGAGCAAAAAACTAATTACACATTGTTTTTTAGAAAGTCTTTTATAAATGTTTTAATTTATTCGAATTTTCATTTATGTTGGTCATTGAAACACTCCAAAGCACATTGTAAGTTTTCCATCACAATCCTTGAACTATTATCATCCACAGTAGGGATTATTTCATGTCCCTTTTTAACGATCGTAAAATTGTGAAATATTCATAATTCTTCTAAAAAACAGCAAAATTACTCAGAGAAAAATATTAAATATTATTATCAATGGATTATTATTATTATTATTTAAATCATAGTGTGCACCATCAATGGTGCATTCAAGAGAAAGCTGTCGATGGAATCATTCTGTCATAAAACATAATATAAAGCCATAAAATTAGCAGTACCTGAGATAGAGTTTACAATGAGGCTTTAAGTTTCTAGTGCATAATTAGGGAAATCACTTATGCCACGAAAATGTTAATAAGCTTTCCTCATTTTCACTCTAGTAGTATTTGGTAATTTCAACATGAACAGCACCTTAAACCATACATAAGCTAAGAGACCAGGTCACAGGTTATTTTAGAACTTCTGACCAAAGGGAGTGCAAACAATCAGCAAAACTTGCATCTATTATGCTGCTAATTGTACCACATAGCAAGAGTTTTACACTTATAACATCTTAGTTGAAAGTGTGAAATATGTTCAACATTGATATCATGGATCGAACCTTTCATCCTAGTTTCCTTAGTTATAATGGTATAATATTGGAATAAATTGTTCTCTGTTCTGATGTAACACATTTTCAGAACAAGTCTGAACAAATCAGATTCTTATCTTTACAAATTTCTCTTAACCACTCAGAATTCCAATGGCAAGTGACAGATATAAGTAACCTATTTCTTTTTCGACAAATGCAAAAATAGAGCTAAAAAACAAGATTAGAATTAATACAGCATTAATTGTGAGTTTATCTTTGTTTGCTTTCCATCCAACTCCAAATTATGACACTAAAAACTAAAGGTTCATTGTTATACTTGCCATAACTTTCATCATTCTCTGGTTCGTGTATCAATTCTGTTCCAGCAGGATATTTATCTCATGTCTTGGGTATAAATGCTGTAGCAAAAATATACAAGATATTGAAATTGAATACACTGGCAGTTTAGTTTATTATACAGGTTGAAATATAAATGACATATAATTTGAACTAAATTAACAGAATAAATAAATATAACTTAAAGAAACATTATTTCTTTCCTTTTAGAAAATATTCATTTATAGATACTAATTTATGCAGAATAACTTTTAGTCCTTTAAAGATACAACATGTACCACTTTAAGGCAGCCACTTCCCACACTTCGTTTTGAAGCAAAGCTCAACATTCACTTTTGAAATGACAGGAAAACAGATATGAATAATGTACGTGCAGGATATTCTACATTAAATTGTTACGAATTAATCACACTATCATTCACATTTCAAAATGTGAAATAAATTAAAGAATAAAAATGTAGATTTTCTGTACATTATTGTGAAGTTGCTCTTAGCATAACTGAAACTTGAAAAATTACTTTTTGCAGTGGGCGGTATAAGTAGCTCAGAGCTTTGGCTATACTTGTCAAACCTACTTTTCACATTGCAGGTCAGTACCATATGTAAAATAACTATCCTTTGTAATACATTATCTTATATTTTGACAAACATGTCAGTTAACTATAGCAGTGACTATCAGATTAACTTGATTTTGAAAATGGGAAACTCTTTCATGTGATAAGATTATACACAGTACCATCAAATTTGTTCATATAAACTCCTAAAAATATTTTACTTATTACAAAATTCCCTCATCTTTTTTAACATGTTGAAGGTAAAAACGCATTTTTCTTGCCTCCATGCTAGTTCCTTAGTCTGTGTACCTGAGATAAATATACATTGGTAGTGTTATAAATAACTGAAGACTCACTTTTTAGAAATTCAGAATAAAATAACTTAATTTTCATAATTTCGTATTCCATTGAAAATTACAAGTCATATTTTATATATATTGCAAACCATGGTGTCTGAGCATACATCCATCTCTTGTTTAAGGCAGCCACTTCCCACACTGCGTTTTGAAGCAAAGCTCAACATTTACTTTTGAAATGACAGGAAAACAGACGTGAATAATGTTCGTGCAGGATATTCTACATTAAATTGTTACGAATTAATCACACTATCATTCACATTTCAAAATGTGAAATAAATTAAAGAATAAAAATGTAGATTCTCTGTACATTATTGTGAAGTTGCTCTTAGCATAACTGAAATCTTGAAAAATTACTTTTCGCAGTGGGCGGTATAAGTAGCTCAGAGCTTTGGCCCTTAGTAAAACCAAGAGTGCAACACAATTAATTTTTTCAAAATCCATGAAATAATTTAAACTGATAAATTAACTTAAACTTTTCCCACACTGGGGATTGGTACTTTTGCTCGTAAAGCAATAAAATCAAACTTGATAAAAACATATAAACAATATTTTTGCATTTTATCAAAGTGAAAAAATTAGAAACAAACATTAAAATTAATTTTTACAGTTAAGTTTACATTCCTTGGAATAATGTCATTATAGTAATTTTTCAGGCATAGACATTCCTTCCATCAGCTTATCTTTTCTTTTAGTTTCCTTTGGCTTTTACAACGTATAATCACATTATCCACATATATCATGGTTCATGTTCATGTATCTCTTCCAATAATGTATCAAGCACAACAATGAATAAGTAGGGACTCAAAGCAGATCTTTCATGCACTCCCACTGCTATTAGAAAGTCCTTTGAGTCACCAGCAGGTGTTTGAATGTATGCTTGACAATCTTTACACACGTCAATAATGAGTCTGATATATTTTTTTGAAATTCTTTTATCTCAAAGTACCCTAAGTACCTTTCCTTGATATTCTATGGTACACCTTTTCCAAATCCAAAAATACTATATAAATCATCTTCCTCTTTTTTTGGTATTTTTCAATCAGAATCCTCATAGCAATTATCACATCCATTGTTAAGCATCCAGGTATAAATCCAAATTGATTCTGTGAGATTGAGCTTTCTTGTCAGATTCTTTTACTTATTACCCATTTCACATAATTCCATTATGTGACTCATCAATCTTATTCCTCAGTAATTCTCACACCTTTGGATGTTGCCTTTATTTTAAGTACATGCAATTGTACTTTTCCTCCATGCACATATCATTTGTTATTATTAGGCTAAATAAACATGTCAAACATTTCACTCCTTGATGACCCAATGCCTTCAATGTCAATGGTTGATATTCCATTTCAACCAACCATCTTTCCTGTCTTCATTTTTTCCTATTTCTGCTTTTACTTCCCTTTCAGCAATTTGCTGTATAAATCTCAAATATTTTGTTCCTGAGAACTTTGCTGCCTTGGATATCGTTATTGAGTAATTGACTGATATATTCAGCCCATCTCTCCTTTATCCATCCTTCATCACATAACAGTTGTCCATTTATGTCCTTGATGATTTTAATTTTAGTAATTTCCTTTATTATTCTATCTCTAGCTTTTGCTACCCTGCAGACCATCTTCCAGTTTGTCACAGATCTCCTTTTGCCATTGAGCCTTTTCCCTCATGCATGTATGTTTATGTATGAAGTACATAAACTAGAAACCACCATTTAGTATCCTTTGTAAAAAAGGTCCAGTATAAAATATAGTAATAATAATAACAATCTAAAACCATTATTTATTTAATATCTTCCAAATGATGCATTTTGTTTAAATAGATTCTAATAAAATTAGTTATAAGAATATGAGAACTTACATCAGTTATGTTTCTGAAAACTGAGGCACATAACATTTAGATGTTGTATTGTTGTAGGTAATTATACTGATGTGATACATGAATGAATATACCATGTGTTTCTATGTTCTTGTAATATTATAGTATTTTTTCAAACTTATTCTTTGTTCTGTATGAGTGCAGGTTTCATATAAAACATGGTTGAGAAATCCATTAAATTTATTTTGTGATAGCTGCCTTTATTACTTTGTTCTCAAATGGATAATACTTGCCGTACCTGAGGAAAAATATTGCTGCAAAACTGCATATTGTGCAAAGATGTCAACAGTAGTGTTCTTCAATGGTTGATTAGATGATATCTAGAAGTTATGGCCTCACCAATGATAAAATGAAAATGACCAGTCACATGGGTAATGCTAGTTGTTCTGGGTAAAGATGAAATTTCTTATGAACTAAGGAACATTGGATTTAGACAGTCAGGAAAACGACCTTGAAGAAGAAACAGTGAAGAAAAACAGTCCTATGTAAGGAAAAGCAAGTACGCATTTTGTGGAATAAAGATGACTTATTTTTTATTTCACTTTGTGTCCAGTCTCATTAGTTCCTTTAACATTACAACTCAGACACCTTCATCTAATCTTCACTTGTTAAGTATACCTATCCAGCAGCTAGAAAGTTAGCTCAGTTTTATCTAAATATACCACACTGATATCTAACATCAAATATAGTCCACATTTTATTAATTATATATTTTAAAGCATTAAAATATCTTTTTTTTTATTGTTAGAGTTATTATTCACTTTTATAAAAAGTATATAAGTTTTTTTATTGGTCTGTGAGTAACATGACTCTTCTACTTTCAAGTACAAAATATAGTTCCTTGATGCACAGTTTATTATGAAGCAGAATATATGATAATAGCTTTATAAAAAGTGGGCTACAGTCAAAGATAAATTTCTGCAAAAATGAAAGTATCAAAAACTGAAGTTCAAAAACATAATCAAAAGATACAATGGAACTGATACCAGAAAACTACCTAAACTTTCCAGGCTAGATGTTAAATGCCTTAAGCTTACTTTGTTCAGACACACACATAAATCTAGCAGCTGCTTGTTGCAGAAGTTCAAGAAACCACTGGAGTAAAAGTTTATCTTCCCAAACTGTAATGAAAACTGTGTCAAGAAGGGCTGAAATGGTGCATTGCAGCAAGAAAACCTTTGTTCTAAAAGAGTATCACATAGAAGATGCTTAGGTTTGCAAAAAACAAAAAATTGGACAACCCTTATGTGGAGAAGGATACTTTGATCTCACAAGTCAAAGTTTGAGACCTTTGAAGCCAAAATATAACTGTAAATTTATCACAGAAGTAGTGAGAAATTAAAGAAAAATTGTTTGCAGCTTTCAGTTAAGCATGGTGGAAGTAGCATCATAGTATGGGATTGTTTAACTACAAATGGTATTGGTGATAGCTACCATATTAATGGATTCTACTGGATATAAGCAAATATCTAATATCTATTCACCATGTTGTTCCTTCTAATCATCAGTTAGTGAAAGAATTTTCATTTTCAACATGGTAATAATCCCAAGCTTAAAGTGAATGCAATAAACTAATATCTGTATAGAAACAAAGCAAATGTAACCTTTGTATTCTTACTGTTACTTCTGCAGAGTGCAGAACTCAATACTGTTAAGTGTGTGTAAAACTATCTTGATCACGAAAAACAGAGGCAGCTGAAATCAAAGGAGGAACTCTCGACAGTACTTCAGTATTCCTGGAATTGAATTCCTATTGACTATCTCCAAATACTTGAAGAAAGCATTCCTTATTGGTTTCAGGCAATGAATTCAGCTAAGGATGGTCATACAACATATTAGAAAAACTGAATTAATTCTGTGTTCATTTGTTTTGACTTCAAATGCTATGAATCTGCAAAATACCAATATATACATATGTATATGCATTGACTGTTTGGAGGTATGGAGCCAAACTTTGTGAAAAAGTAGAAGACAGGATGAAATTAAACTGGTACAGGTAAATAAAGGTCAAGGATTACCAAGAAAAGTAACAATCACCTATGGTAAGCTAATCGGTTTATAGTTAAACACTGTCTGACTGGCCTAAATTCATGGTGTGTAATAACATTTTCAGTTCTTTTCTATCTAATATAAAAAAATAGACACAAGTATGAAAATAATGACTGAAAATGCAATAGAGCTGTATGAATCTAAATAGCAAGTTGTACAGTCATCTAGAGTTGAAGATAAAGATTCTTATCATACATTACATTGCAAGAAAAACTATGTATCTTATCAGATGTTAGAAGACATAAATTTGTATATCATACAATGCTTATGCTGACGATTCATGATTCTTTCATAGCATACTTCATGTGTTAAAAAATCAATGGCTTGGATGTTAAATATGCTAAATAAATCATACAAGTTGGTAGTGGTTTCTTCTTAACCAAAGTATCCAAACTTTTTCATCATGGCCTTACCTGCAACTTGTCACTTCTTCTACCATTGCATTGTCTTTAAATGCCAGCTGAGTTCAACTGAGTTAGGAACAGCAGAGCAGACAATCTCATATAAATCTGGACAGTATGTGAACAAAAATATATTATTCATCTGATTAATAAACAAATCAAAAGAAATTTACTTTCCTTTTAAGCACAATAACTAAACAAAATAAAGACAATTGTATATTTCACAAATATTTCATTAGTTATTATAATAGTTTTGCCCACAATGGCTTCAAAATAATTGTGAAATGTACAACTGTCTTAGTTTTTCTTAATTATGTAATGATCGAGTTTCTCTAAGTCCCAATTGTTTCAAGTTTTAATTATATACACAAAAACTAAATGACAAGAAATCTGAAGCAAAACTACAAATCCAAACGTTAAGAAAATGCTAAAATAGAAATACTATAAGTATGAAATTAAGCACACCAACTCATACTACATGATGTGCATCTATTAGAAACAAACATTCTCCAACCTATAATCTGCTCACTCCCCTCTCCAGTTTATCTAACAACTGTGAACATAATAAAACTTCTTGAAATTATCCTGCCAAATTAAAACATGATCACGAGTCAGCTTCAAGACTGCGTAAATTACATACTCATTCCAATAGGCATTGTAAATTTAAATTCTGATAGAAGTACAAATTCTGTAAGACTAATTTTAAAGAAAATTCTTAAATACCTTCTTTTGTGCAGTATGCATAAATTCTACTAAGAGCTCTAGACACTTCTTTCATTACATTAAAAACAGAAACTAAACTTTCAGAAAAATGTTTCCCATATATTTGGGTGTTGTAAAATACGGCATATGTTGCAAAAAAGTAAAATGTTTCAGACTTATTGTTTATAAGATCATTCTTTAAGCCTCTTAATTCTGTTTTCCTTCTTTTTCTAATTCTAGTCAGTAATGGTTCCCTGCCGAGTAAACGAGCTACACTGCTCAGATTAATATTCTTATTAACTTCTTATAAATATTTTTTTAAATTTTATTTTGAGAATACAATAGATAACTTGAGTTAATGCATATAGATTATATACTTTTAACCAAACTACAATACTTAGAATAGGTAGCAATCATTTCTCCTGTTACTATAGTTACAGTACATAGTTTCTTTTAATGTCATGCATCAGAAAGTGTCCAAATGAAGCCCATGGGGTGTGTAAATAAAGAGTATGTAAGATACACCGACAACTTCTGAGCCAAAAATACTCTTTGCCCATGAAAATGATGTGTCACAATAAGGGTGAAATCATAGGAGGGACCCCAGAAAGTAAATGATGGGGCTCCTAGTGTAGAGTGGCTTGGGTGTGATAGACCATAAGGGAGAGTTCAACCAACACCATCAGTAATGTGATAGGAATATCAAGCAATTGGTAGGAAGGGAGTCCTCTACTTTTCACTTCAGAAACAGAAACTAGAAGGGAAGAAAATCATTCATTCCAAGGACCCACATTATCATGTGTGCATGTCCAACACAACCAACACCAGTACCCCAGGTGCTTACACCTGGATGACAGTAGAAAAGTGGAGAGCAATGTGACAGTTCAACTCCATTCCAGAACCCAGTGGCATTAGAAATGAATAGTCCAGTCTGCGGTATTGAGTGGGGGAGAGGAAGAACTTTAACACTTTAACCAACCTACCTACCTGTGCAGCCTGTTGAAGAAGGAACCGAGTGTGAAGGGAAGAGTTGGCAAGCAAAGGAGCTAGAAGCAGCCAGATGTCCAAATAAAGGTGGAAGTGAAGGCCTCTCGAATGGAGAAGATGGACAAAGGCCTTGACAACCCAACAAGAAATGTAGGGAGCTGAAAAGAGTCCGGTATGGTAGACGCAACTTAGATGGGCAAAACAAAGAAAATGCTGGGGAGACTGGAATGTGGAGATAAGCATTCAAGACATCTAACTTAATCATCCAAATACCGGGAGATAGGACATCTCAAGAGATAGGTAGGACTGCATGGTAAATCAAGGAAAATCAAGGTAGTGGTTCAAGGAAGAGAGATTGGTGATGGGATGCCAGTCCCCAGTCTTTTTGGGGATTTTGAACAAACAGGTATAGAAATCTGTCTGAGAAGGATCTCCAGATTCTACAGCACTCGTATGAAGAAGATTGAGAACTGCCTTGGAATTGGAAAGATGCTGGTTGAAAATACAATTCTGAGGAGGGTGGGGGGAGAGAATATGGGATGACGGTACACAGAAGAAGAGGAACAGAAATGAATAATGAGCCAGTTAGAATAAATATGCAAAACCCAAGGGTGTGTGGTGAAGGACTCCCCAATGGTGGCAAAGCACAAATGCCTGGCCCCCATCAGACATGTACCCACCACAAAGTCACTAGGATTACTGGGGGGGGTGCTGAAGCCATTGATGAAGGAACTGTTGATGAGCCTTGGAGACCCATACAGGAGGCACTGGTAAAAGAGAGGACAAATGGGAGGTTAATGAGGAAAGGGAGGTGTGCAAACGTGTAGTTTCGACTCTGGTCTCCAACAAGTCAGGAAGACCCACAAAGATATCTTGCCTTAAAAAGGAAGCCATGCACAAGTACCATAAGGAAGTTGGGGTAAATGCAGATCGGACAAAAGGGCATCTTAACCCAAGAGATCCCAACAACAGAGGAGTCATGTTTGTAGGGAAAGGATGGAAGAAGACAAGATGAAACCGTGGAAAAAAACAAGACACGAGTCTCCATCAAAATCCCTTCAGAAGAAAAATGAAAAGCCTCAAACAGAATGCAAATCGAGGAAAAGAAACAAAGGAGGGAGGATAATATGAGGCAGATACAACAAAACTGTGGTTGGGAAAAAGTTACCAAAGTACTGGCATTCAAACCCCACAGAAGCAGAAAAGAATCCAACTGCTGGTAGTCCAAAAAAAGGAAATGCAGACCTATAGTAAGCCATTGCATGGACATCTGTATTATGTGGGTGTAGAGACATGCTGACCCTGAAATGTAATTGGTCTACAAATCCATTGGCATGAACCCCAATATCCTGCAAGAAGAGTGGAGAGAAAAATATATTGGCTCGAAAGTGTCTCAGTTAAAAGGAAGGAGAGGAGTTGTAGAAAATGAGGGACAAAGACAAAACGTAACATATCTGGTTCATTAACTCTAGGAAAGGAAAAGGAGGCCTAGATGTTTCCATTGAAGATAAAAGTGAGTGTGTAGCATAGACAGGGGGAGAAAACAGGCTGTCAAAATAGTTGTCCTCTTGGTTAGGTACCCCTGAACAAGGTATGATAGGATAATCTTCAGGCAAATCAAGAGCCTTTGTGAAGATAACCAACTCCTAGCGAACCAAAACCATCACATCTTCTGCTGACAATTGTGGACCCAAAGCCACTGTAGTCAAGGTAAGGTTGACTGTAGTAAGAACAACAGTGAAACTCAGAATTCATTGCAACTATGAGTGGAAGTAGAAATGTTCAAACAGGGTGCTCCAAAGGATCACATAGAAGAAAAGACATGTAATGCTAACATGTACTAACTAAAATTTCAGAACACGAGTTTAGTAAACATACAAAAAAATCCAAGTTCCCAGCAAAACAACAACAAAGAACTGATTGAAAATTCCATAAAGGAAAGTGCAAACCAAAAATATGTCTTAACACCACAAGTGCCAACTGAGAAGTGTAGTTGGGATAAGCTGCACAGAGGGAGTCAGCTGTACTAGGAGTTGTATCATACTCCTATTAGTGGAGGGTTGTCACATGCTCATTTGAATGCTATCACACAGCTGCATGATGTGAAAAAGAGGAGGGTATATGGGAGTATCAAGGCAAGTGGCGAACAACAATTTGCTCATATAGAGGGTAGTACAAGTCAGTGAAAGCTATTCTGTGAGAAGAGATAAGATAATTTATTGGAACTAATATTTAGTTTTAATCATAATTAGAGTTACTGTGAGTTGAACTGTAAGTACAAGTACAGAACTATCAGTTAATTAGTTATAGAACTAATGTTAGATGTAGCCTATGTTTAGTTAATTTCATGTACAAGTGATCATGTCTGCCAAAAACTGATCTATTGGTAAGATTAGCCCCAGAGTTAAACCACCTGACACCCAGTTGTATACAACATTAGGGCTGATGAATGTATGGAATATAGAATCAATGGCTAACACAACTTAGATCTTTAAGCTGTACCAGCTGAAAATGCCACAAATACTTGGTAGATTGACAGCTCAACAACCACAGGGTTATGACATTTGGCATATTCTGTTACTAGAGAGTGAAACCAACACAGAGATGCCTAGTTACAAATTACAAGCAGGGCTGACTAGCATAAGGTCCTGTACCAGGCAAATTTCTCAATGGTGGGAAGGTATCTTTATAACATATCAGCCAATGTGCTGACTAGCATAAGGTCCTGTACCAGGCAAATTTCTCAATGGTGGGAAGGTATCTTTATACCATATTAGCCAATGTGCTGACTAGCATAAGGTCCTGTACCAGGCAAATTTCTCAATGGTGGGAAGGTATATTTATACCATATTAGCCAATGTGTATGCACCTAAAAACTGCAACTCCTTTCATATAGGATACTGGACTGCTGTCACTTACCTGCTTTGTTAAGACAGACAGAGGTATGAAAAGGAGCTTTGAAGAGCTAGTGGTTAATCTATTTCCAACAAAAAATGGTAAAAGCTCTGCTAAACCAAAGGAGCTAAAAAAGTACTTATGGTGTTAAAATAAACATACTTTAAAGATACTATATGAAAACTATAGACTTTATCAAGTGTTCTCAGACATGAAGACTACAAACGTTATGCAACATTAACTACCATGTCAGGTTTTCCTATTTGATCTAAAACATAAATCTGCAGTGCAGGAACAGTGTAATGAATCACTTCACAAACGTTTGAACAGCTTAAATTCAGATAGAAGAGGAGTTTTATATTTGAATAATAAGAAAAAGTGGATAAACTACAGAAAAATGGTTACTTACAGTTCTAAGTTGTGTAATGGAAAAAGATCCAAAGTCAATTATTGTTTTCCCTTTTCGGAGTATGTAGCACAAACTGGAGTTATGATTCTTATAATTTTGTGCTTAAAGATGACCTTCAGCTATGACAAAAGTCCAAAATATTTTATTTATTGTTAGACTTTTCAGTTTTATTCTTTCAAAGATAACAGCCCATGTCTCACCAGAAACTGTTACCCTTGGTGAAGTTGTACACCATAATATTAGGCAAGAACAATTTTATTTAGAAGATAAAAATAGAGGATTTTATTTATTTTACTTCTTTAAAATGTAAGTCCTTGATCATAATATAATACTAAATACAAATTTCCTTTAAAAAACAAAATCAGTTTTAAGAGCGTATTTCATCACACAACGAAAGCCCAAGTTGGATAAAAAACACCAAACATTATACAGAATGACAAAGTCAAAGCCAACTCAGCTGCATATAAATATATTAGTTAAATTTTTTGTAATTAACTGATATTATTTAGTTCTTCTGCCACACATCAGTAACATCATGTGACTAAAATGTTTGAACTTAAAAAAAAAAGTCTCTGTATAAATCCTTGTAGAACCTTCGAATACAATATAAATATATTTCCTAAGGCCTTTTGCATGCGAGTATTTATTGTCTTCTTTCTCATCAGGTTGTGCATATTTTCAATTTACAACCATATTAACACAAGTCCCCTGGCAAACAACAGTGAGAAATCAAATTGCACATTCATCAATAGCTAAAGAACAAAATGATTAGTTAAATATGCATATTGCTGTACTATTTTTTATGTTAATGAATGTAAATTTTATTTAGCTGAAACATTATTCTTATAATTCACATTAACTTTCAAACATAGCAAGCTTTACACTTAGAGCAAAACTGAAAATCAGTCTGGTTACCAGTATAACTGTTATTCAAATGCACATAATATAACTGGGTCTACAAAACTTCTCACAGCTGTCTATTTTACATAACGTATATTGCAACTGCTTCTGATATTGAACTAAATAGTTACAATTACAGAGTTTGAAATATATACCTTTTACCTAAGTCATGAGAAAAATTCTTAAATCTAATAAAAGGAAGCTTTTGCAAAATTATTTAGTGAAATGTGATATAATAAAAGAAAGCCAACATTGATTCACCAAAGGAAATTCTTGCCTTACTAATCTGTTACCTTGCTTCAAGTATATATTACACATTACCCTGAATGATGGTATAGTGAGGTTTTTAAAAACAAAATGCTTTTGACAAGGTGCAATAGCAGTTAATTGGATTGTATTATGGATGGATAGAAGAAAACTAAACATAATTATTAATGGAGTCCATTTGAACTGGACTCTAGTGGAGTGCTTTAGAGATCAGTGCTTGAGCCTTAACATTTGCTTTTTTCTATTTATGTAGATACTGTTACGACAGTGGGGGTCACGTGACACTAGTAACACGTCATATTCTCGAAGGTTCGTGAATGCTCGAGCGTTTACTAGATTTCGGAATTTTTGTACATATAAGATGGTCAAGACGTGATGGCAACAATGTGTAATTGAACTGCGGACAGAGAGAGACATATTGTTGAGTCGAGCACGTGAGACGTTCGTTGTGAATTATAGCATTTGTTATAGCGCGACTGTGGAAATTAAGTGTATTGCAAAGTTGTATTCAGAAAGAATAAACCAGTTTTATTTAAGAAAGTACTTGTATCGCTAAAGTTTCTTCGGAAAGAATTTTTACGGAAAATTAACTAACGACCAGAGACGTAACAATACTATAGGGGCATATATGCTATATAATTAGTACAGTTTGTTGAAATTGTATGATTTTCATATCACAATATTGACTTACTTCTTGATATTATGTATACTTCCACACTGCCTTATCTTTATCTTTTAGTGATATAATGAAAGCATGATTATTCCAACAATTTACAGAAAATAGTTTCATTTTGTATATAATTATGTTCACTCAGTTTTAGTGGATGCACTGTGAACAGCATATCCTGGGGTATTTCACATAGAAAGTACACATAATATAATAGTAACACACACAAAAGAACCTATTCTTATTCACTAATATATCTTTTTTAATAATTGAGTTTTAAGCATACAACACTTTTCTGTTATACATTACAAGAGAATACATGTAGAACTACAGTTTTGGATAAATTACAAAATATTATAGCAAACTATATATAAAAATAAAACTGATTAAGAGAACTGTCTCATAACATTGAGACTTGTAGTTGAAGCATATACAAGTGCTGTTCATATTCTGAATGTACAGTAATGTTCATGTATAGGTATAATTCAACCTTAGGAGCACACTATTATTTTAGTGTTCAAATGTTGTTTGGTCAGAGATGAATTGAAGAGTACAAAGATCATTTATTGTTTTGTGTAAAGTTAAGTAAACAATTGAGATTAGTCACAGTCTACATACTGATTTTTTCAAATATTAAGTTTTAAAACCTGAAAGAAATAAACTTGAGGAAGTTTTTCTGCTGAATTAAAGTGCATCAAGTATGCTATTACAACTCATTTTTTATACAAGTTCAATAGCATTAGTCCTCAATAAATCTCCAACATCTCCTCAATCCCAAACAAATCTAGTTGAAAGTCAGTGCATTCATAGATATTATACATTTGCAACTGTAACAATACTGTAAAACATGACTTATTTTGTCATTTATGCAAATTAGGATATTAAAGTTTTCATACATTAAAATTATCAATAATATTAAAGTACTATTTTTTGAGGAATGAAAATAAATTCCTTTATGAATGTTTTTGAGCTGTGATGACTTTAAGGAAGTTAGAAAGAGTACTGTTAGGGCTAAAAATGGTGAATTTAGTTATAATAAGCATATTCTGTTGAGCAACAAATTTCAGCCCTTGGCTTCTCCAGATGGGGAACTATTGGAGAGAAGGAAAACAAAAGGGTCAGAGAAGGATGTGGATGATAAGGAGGTTATAGTTATAGGTAATTCCTTGATAAGGCATGTGGTTAGAATAGTCTGTGGTGTAAATAGGGAGAAAAGAATCAGATTATGCTACCCAGAGGTACATTTGGAGGATATAACTGACAGAGCAAGAGATATATAACGAAGGGGGCTAGCAGAGATGCAGTTTTTGTTGTGCATGTAGGGGCTAATGATGAAGGGAAAGGTAGGTCAGAGGAGCTAATTAATACGTACAAGGGGATGATAAAAGCACTTAAAGAAAACAGCCATAACTTAATTTTGTCAAGGATACTGCCCACAATTAACTATGGGGATGTAGTTATAAGTAGGTCATTAGAGCTAAATGCTAGGCTTGGGTTAGTATGTAAGATGAGCAGATTGGCTGGTTGGACTTGTGGGATCAGTTCAGTGGGTGAAGGGAGCTTTTTGCAATGGATGGTTTACATTTAAATAGAGTAGGAGCTGGCTTGTTTGCCAAGGCTATTAACTCAGTTGTAAGGGAAGTTTTAAACTAGGACTAGACAGTGGTGAGGGCCAAGAAAAACTGAATGTAAAAAGAATTAGAGGCAGAGAAAAGTTGAGCATAGGAAATGAGTATAGAAGTAGTTATAAGGATAGGCTTAATCATTACTATTGTAATGCTAGAAGTATAAGAAATAAAATATATGACTTTAAAGCACTGGTAGGAATGGAGGATTTTGATATAATGGGAATAACTGAACATATGGTTAAACATAGATGATTTTGATGACATAAATGTTTTTGAAATACAGGGTTACAGGCTATTTAAAAGGGATAGAGTATTAAAGATGGGGAGAAGGAGTGGCTTTATATGTAAAATCATGAGGGAGAAAGGTTTTTGGAGACTATTCAGGATGGCTTTCTTCACCAGTTAGTCAAGGAACCAACTAGAAGCAATATTATTTTAGACTTATTGTTAACTTCAAATACAGAAACGATTGAGAGGGTGGAAACTGGGGAACATCTGGGTGCAAGTGATCATTGCTCTATTAGGTTCAATGTTTTGCTGCATATGGAGATAAGGAATAATGATATTTTGGTTACAAATTTCAAAAAAGCAATTTTTGAAGAGAAGTTATCTGTTGTGAATTAGGCAGCTGAGTTATTTGGAGACACTGATCAGATGGGGAAAATTTTAAGATAAATTTTTAAATATTCAATGTAAATATATTCCTAATAGAAAGAAAAGGGTAGCTACAAGTAAAAAAAAACAAGTTGGCTCACAAAGAGTTTAAGAAATAAAATTAAAGAAAATCATCATAAATTTAGGAAACTTAAATTGACTGATATGACAGGAGACTTAGAAGATTATAGAAATTGAAGAAAGTTGGTGAAACAGGAAATTCGGACATGAAAAAGGTTTTATAATAAAAAGTTGCCTGAAAATGTAAAAATTAACAGTAAGGATTTCTTTAAATACATAAAGGGGAAACAAAATGTTAGGATAGGGATAGAACCCTTGAGGGATGATAAAGGAAGGCTGGTATCTGATGATTATGGGATGGCTGGGTTATTAAATTTTACTTTTGCTTCAGTTTTTACTAAAGATTTAAGCAGTATTCCACATCTTGATCAGTTGATAAATGGAAAACAAGATCAAACAAGATGACTGCATTAATTCTAAGGTGGTTAAGAAAAAACTGGGAAGTTTAAAAATGATAAAGTTCCTGGGCCAGATAGTATTTTCAGGGCCAGATAGTATTTTCTCAAGGGTTTGGAAGGAGGTTAAAGATTGGATATGTGAGCTACTTGCTACTATTTTTTTTTTTTTATCAGTCCTTGAATAGTGGGCAGGTACCAGAGGATTGGAAATTAGCTAATGTAACTCCTCTTTTCAAGGGAGGTGATAAAAATTGTCCCAGTAATTATAGACTCATTAGTCTTACATCAGTTGTGGGAAAAACTTTGGAAAGTCTGTTAAAAGATGCAATGCAAAGTCATTTAACAAAGTTTATAATTTTATTGGATAGTGAACATGGTTTCACTATGGGAAAATCTTCCCATACAAATCTTTTAACATTCTTTGAAAAGGTTACTAGTTATGTAGATGAGGGTAATGGTGTAGATTAGGTGTATCTGGATTTTAAGAAAGCATTTGATAAGGTGCCACATAAAAGGCTTGTAAAAAAAATTAGCTCTATAGGTGTGGGAGATAAGTTAGCAAATTGGATAGAAGAGTGACTGAATGGAAGAAAGCAGAGGGTTGTTACAAATGGAGTTCAGTCAAACTGGATTAACATCACAAGTGGGGTACCTCAGGGCTCAGTCTTAGAACCTTTGCTCTTTTTGATTTACATCAATGACACAGATGAAGGGATAGTCAATAAATTACTTATATTTGCAGATGATATTAAGGTATTGGGTGTTGCTAGCTGTGAAGAGGATGCTGCTGATTTACAAAAGGATTTAGATCATTTAATGAGTTGGGCAAATAAATGGCAGATGGGTTTTAATTAAAATAAATGCAAGATAATGCATGTGGGTTATAATAATTTGAATTATAAGTATAATTTGTGTTATGAAAGAAAGGGATCTTGGTGTAATAGTTGATCAGTCTCTAAGGCCATCCAAGCAGTGTGGTGTTGCTAGTGGTAGGGCAAATAGGATTTTAGGTTGTATCTATAGAAATATTGAATAAAAGTCTAAATAGGTTATACTTTCATTCTACAGGTCACTGGTTAGGCCACATTTGGAATATTGTGTTCAGTCTTGGACTCTTATAACCCTTTCCAACAATTCAATGTCCTTCCTAAGGCAGAGAAGGGTTACTAGAATGGTGCTTGGGATGGAGGGGTTGTTATACGAAGAGAGGCTGAAATCTCTCAAATTAGTTTCTCTTGAAAAAAGAAGAGTTGGGGGGGGATCTGATTGAGGTGTTTAAGATTGTAAAGGGAATTGATATTGTTGATGCATCATCATCTTTCATATTTAACAGTGAGAATAGTAGGACAGGTGAACAAACATAAATTTTGACAGGGTAGGAGTAATCTTCATCTAAGACAGTTTCCTTTTCCTAACAGGATGGTTGGCCTTTGGAATAGGTTGCATTCTGATGTTGTGGAGGCAGTAAATTTAAGTGAGTTGATAAGTATATGAATGATAAAGGCTGGCTTAATTTATTTATTTATTTAACAGTTTTAGTTTAGAGGGTGGGATAGCCAAGATGGATGAATAGGTCCCTTGTTGTCCCAAAACATTTTGTGTAATTAGACACCTTGACCTATTTTTTTTCAGAGAACATTTCAATCTCCTTTCTTTTAAGATCAAGAGCTTCAATTTATTGTGCATTTTCGATGGAGAAATTGATATATGTACATCACTTGAACTTCTTGACAACTATTATTAGCTGAAGAATACAATTATCATTAATTGCAAGTATTTTATATAAGGTGAATGTTGATACTTTTTTTGTATGGGAAGTTTGTTTTTCCTCATCAAAATGTGAATTTTGGTTTAAAAAACATGATGTAGGGCTTAATATCTTCTTTGATTTGCTATTTTCTTCACTGAAATTCATGTTTTAGTGAGAAAAATATATCCAAATATAAATAAAAGGTTTGTGCTTAATGATAATTAATTGTGATAGAATGTCATGTTATCCAAACACCCAAAATATTTTAGGTTAATAGTGGTTAGTAAAGGACTATGCATCAAAACCAAACAAACTGCTTATATTTCATCACTCTATGAGGCCTACTTTATTTACTTTGCTCTTCCAAGTAGTGATGATAAGCTGTGAATTATGAACAACTTCCCTGCTCCAGTGGAAGTAGCAAATCAAAGAATAGAGTAAGACTGTATATATATATAATCTTCATGAAATTCACAAATAAATAATAATCAAGTTAACTACTGTTTTTCATTTATTTGTTTTGTATTTGTATAATGAGCTATATGTTAATATCTAATATTGCAACATGTACTGTGTAGAAATCAACTAAGTTAACATTGTGCAATTTGGTTTTTTACAAATGTTAAATTATTGATGATTTAACTTCATATGCAGTCTATATAAAAAAAAGTAAGGAAAAAATTTTAGTTTATGCCTTTTTGTCTAGAAAATGACATTCACAGGAACTGAAGTACCAGAACAGACAGGCTATCTCATAATAAATGAAGATGGTGGTGTTGTATCTGTAAGTACTTCTAAGAAGAGCCATTTAGAAATGTAACAAATGTTTTAAGTAAGTCGTGTAAACATTTAAGTTCTTGTCTTATATGTATGAATGAAAACTAATTCAGTTTGAAAAACAAATAAATTGATGTAAATTTACCATATGAGCACAAAAATAAAAAGTTATAAATTTTGAAAGGTATTATAAAATGATATGAGATGAGATTTTACAATAAAAAATCATGGTGAGTTGCAATGAATGACATTTATAGATAATTTTTTTTTATACATTTATTTTGAATTATATATATAACACACACGCACAAGTCATTGTTCCTATGGGAAGTTTATAAATGAATATTTTAAAGGTTGAACAATATTAACTGAATGAAGTTAAATAAATCCCATATTCTGGCCAGCTCAGAACTACAGCTTCCCTAGACATCAGCATTTGTTGGTCTGCCCAAGCTAATGGTGGAGAAAGTCATCATTTGAGTTTTTTTTTTTGTAGGTTCATACACGTGTTCGAATAACTTCTAACTGAATTAGTGTATGAATACTTCTGTTAGCAAAAGCTGCTTCCACATTTACAAGTAGTTAGTATAATCCACATAAGTTTGTACAGCTGTGTATGAAAGCTTTCAGTAGGTGTTTGTTTTTAGTCTTTAAATGTGTTAGTGGTGATTGGTATAGAAATCATGAAGACTGCACAAATTTCGAGTTTCACTAGTTACCATTAATATAGATACTGCATTATTCTTTGTGACTTAGCAACACCTTTGATCCAAATCACTAGTGGTATTCTGTGAGGCATTCTCTCACCTAGGTTCTGACAAGTGTTCAGAGCAATATGTTTCTGTGTTGTATCAAAAACTCATCTAGATAGTTTTTACAAGTTTTTTGTAGGAATTAAATCTGTTCTATTTGGGCCCACTAAAGATACTGATGTTGTTACTTTCAAACTAGTTATGGATTGTATGTGCTTTATTACATGTTAACCACAACTCTGTTGTAGTTCCTGGAATGTATTTATTCAAGACCCTTGGATACTTATGAGCATTTATATGTGCATACAGTACACACAGGTAGTTCTAAACCCCAACCCCCTTCTGTTGTCATTACTGTCCTTTATAGTTGATACATCACAGTAGAAGGGCTGACTTGCCTTTCTTCAAATCTGTGTCTTGCCATTGCCTTAAAACAGAATTCCTTACCAACTGTCAGTGCTGACAAGCTTTACACTAAACAAAATGGTGTCAAGCATACTTGGAAGTGGTGTGGAATTTTATTCCAAAGTGCCCACATTTATGGAGAGAACAAATGGTGTCCATTTAAATGTTTCTATATTAAGTTTAGTAATAAATGGGAATTTGTTGCAATAATTATTTGGCATTTTTTGCAACCCTGTTTCGTCAAATTTGTCACAATCTAGTGGAACTTTAGGATCATGTGAAAGTTTTTAGATATATAATATTGAGTTTCTGATACAGTTGAATGGCTTTACATACAGTAGATGACATGTAATCCAAGTACTGAGATTATTTCATGTATTGAATTTCCATACTTTATACAGTCTATAACATCTCTCACATATTCACGTTATTCATCTTGTTATGGCATCTTTGACATGTTGACAGTACCAATCTGTTTGTCTGTTGTTCAACATGTTGGGTAAGCCACATCATTTGTTCAGACACTGTCTAGGTACTTTTAGCAGAGCAGTGTGTTGAAATGACTGTTTTGATAGATTCAATTTTGTAATTTATATCACTTACAGTTTATATTTCTTATAATTAAATGCTTTTGATTTTTTTTCTCAGTCAGGAGGAGACTTAGAAAATGATGAACATGCTGCTAGTGTTATTATGAATATGTTAAATTTAATTGAAAAATCTACAATGTCACCAACTGAGAATAAAGAACCCTTCAAAAGATTATCTAGTAAGTATACATATAGTAGTATTGATACTTTTATTTTTAAGTAAGTGAAAGGACCTGTGTTATTATCATGGTTAGTAAGCCATATGATCACATAAGCCTAATTATTTTTTAATTTTATAAATTGTTACTAATAATTTATTAATTTTATTCCTATTTTATCTGCTAAATTTGCTTCTGTCCTAGTAATACCAGTCTATCTTTAATAGCCCATCATGCCATAGAAGACCATATAATAGAATGTAATAATACTGAGAAAATAGGATAGGAACCACAAACAAGGAAAAAAGCTTTCTCCATTCATTTCAGTGATAACACACTTAGTTAACTTTAATACAGAATTCATCAAACTTGGATACCCATCTTTAATACATTCAATTAATTGGAGAGATGTAAGTTGAGTGGATAACTTAGATTTTCTATCAAGAATCCTGACAAATGCTGAAATAATCCTTTGCAGGGATTCTCTGAAAATAGCAGCTGAAACATAGAATAAAGAATAGAACCTAGTTAAAAATAATAGTTCCAAATACACAAGTAGATTTAGGCTATAATGTAGGCTACTGACCTTGATAATGATTAATATTCAATCATCACAACCTTTCCATAAGTGCTGAAACTGAAAGGACCTGTAGTTGTTACTTCTATTTCAGATATTGGGAAATAATAAGATAGTTTTTTTATTGTTACAAATCACAGTGTGATCATTGCCTAGCACCATGGTTCCCAAACTGGGGCCACTTTTGGGGGGGGGGGCTGTAGCAAATACACAATGTTAAGGTTCTCACTATCTATAGATTAACTGGATGGGTTAGGACCTCAGTCAGAATGCCCTGTGGGCATTGTGTAAAGAAAGTTTGGAACCCATGATCTAATACCAATAAAAGTAAAAAAAAAAAAATAACCATGTAAAAATACCCGTCTAATCATTTTTTCTTTCTTTATAGTACAGTATGATGATCATTTGTACATTGTAATGGTATCCAATAAGAAGATCCACGTTGTGAAGAGAAATTATGTTCCAGCTGAACCAGTAGAAGCTTGAAATTGAAAAATAATCATTCTGTCTGAAAAGTGTTCTTCAAACAAGTTTTATTTTTCTGATATGATCTGTATAATATAAAAACATTCTGTTATATTGTACAGTATTACGTCATGTTTTGTTCTGTGAAATGTACAGAAATGTGTGTGTCTATATATAAACACACACACATATATTATAGAGAATAAAATATTTCACATAAATAATGTCTTTGTTATAATTTGTAAATGGAAGTTTCATTCAGGACATTTCAGAAAGAGGAAAATTTGTATTATTGTTTTTTGTAAGATAATTAATTTCATGTTTAACATGATGAAAGAGTTGTCCAGGTTTTCGAGAAAAAAAACAACTAATCTCTCTCTTTTCCTGTTTCGATAGGTAAAAAATATTTTGGGAGTTTATGAAAAAAAAAAGGTTTGAAACTATAAACCTGTTTTAAATTGCGGCTTCCTTGTGAACAATGTTTTTTGTTTTTCCTTCACTGTCAAGGATAAATAGGCCCTTTTGGAGAATATTTAGATGTTATACATGTATGAGTACCTGTTCTGGTGAACTGGATAAGCCTATCTCTATTGTCCCACCCACCCCCTGTCATTCCAACTCAAATATTAAAATTTCAAATGTAAACATGTATGTAATGTTCGGTTTGCTTTATTGTAAATTTATTATATTTTTATGAGTGTGATTCCGTATTCACATTATGACATTGATGTTTGAAATATACTACAAACAAAATTCAGTATTGTACTTTATAATGTATCAAAAGAAATAAATCCACTTCCAGGTATCGAAACAACCCGGGGGGAAAAAAAAAAGAGTAAAATATATTTGCTGACTTGACTTTAATCTCATTTTACACAATAAGTATTATAATGTAAGCCTTACTCTTTTCACATGGTATATTTTATGAGAGCATAATTTTATTTTATAGGCTAGGCCTACTGTTTGCTTTTTCACACACAACATTCTAATTCTGCATACACTTCTTTTGTGTGTGAGGTTAAGTATATGATGTATTACTAGATGTATAAATAATAATCTATAACTACATAGGCTTATCTATTCTAATGCTAATAAAAAAAAAATATATATATAATTTCCAGTTTTAACCAATCTACCAGTTACGCTGACTTGACTTTAATCTCATTGTACACAATATAATTTAAGCCTTGCTTCACAGGGATGGATTGGACCAAGCCAAAAAAAATAGTCCACAGTTTTCGTGGCTTTGCATAATATTATTGAAAAGTTGTGATCAGTTTTGAAGATTACTGCACCACTTCTGGAATTAATGGAAGATAGAACAGTGTCTACACAATGTCTCTTCATCTTTACAAAAATGCAGCCATTAAAATAACTAGCTTTTGATAAGATTCAGGCCCACTAGCTAAGGGAATTT